ACTGTACACTTGTTGGTATGGAGGTTAAAGTCCTGCCCTAAATTACATTACAACACACATACTTACAATCTCTGTTTGCTTAGGGGGCTGTGCAGTGCTCACATTGCGTACTGGTGCCATACCCTCACTCTCCTATTGTCCGGAAATTTTTTTAAATGCCAATTGATCTAGAGGAATAAAGATTGTTTATGAATGCATTTGAAAAAATTTTATGTACGCAGTGACCATAGTTGCTTATTATCCTTTCACATATCTCACCTGGCGTGCGAATTTTTTCGTGTCGCTTTCCAATAGTCTTTTTAGCCTTCGCATTCATTTATTGGTCACCCCTTGCACTTTTACTATTCCTTTACAAATTGTTAGTTAATATTCCAGATTTTTATTTCACTATTACATATGTACATCAGACACTGATTTATTAAATGAAACTGTTTTACAAAATTTCCTGAGGAAATAAATTTTTAACACCGATTTGAAAATTCACATCAAACATTTGTTTTACACATTCTTTCATTCACTTTTCCTGCCAGTTTGTTTTGTTGTTCTCTTTCAGCACTGCACTACCAGCCGTTGTTGCCCTGCTGTACCGACTTTATATGCGGTTTTTTAATGGAATCATCATGCGCACTTTGTAATCAAAGGTGCCATTCAATCTGCCTGTCATTCTGACATTTTGATTGACAAGCGAAAAGTCATGCTGAGAAACTACCCAGTAAGGTAGCTACCGGGTAAATTCCCTGTGATTAACCGAGAGCTCTACCAGATATTTTGATGAAAGTCACTATGGACTGATTTCATAGTCATTAATTAACTAATAGATTAATGTTAACCAACCGCTTTTCATTTCACAGTAGGCGTCTTCTCTTTAAGTCGTGAAAGCCTCGTAAAGCTCGTAAATTTACGAGCCTCGTTAAATAGTGATGTGCTGAATTGGCGGTACCCAATACTCGGTACCCAATACTTGAAGAAAAAACTTGAAGAAAACTTTCTTTTCGGTACCCGATACCGATTCGATACATTAAACCTTTGTCATAATATATACACTTGTGGTCAGCTGATTAAGTCTAGTGACATTTGGACTAGTTTTTACTATTTTTTATTTTTTTTATTTTGTGTTTATAATTTTTAATAAAAGTCTAGCACATTACATAGCACCATATTAATCCACATTTCAAACTTTTTACAAAATTTATAAAAATTCAACAAACTTTAAAAATTACACATACAAATTTTAAACTTTTTATTAAAATTTTTTAGAAAAATTGTGGGTATACAGTTTCATAGCCCATTATATTTCAGTAGTTTTAAGCTGCAAATTTTAAAACGCTAGAAATTCGCGCAGACTTATAATATTTTTTTTTTGCTAGGCATTTTCCTCCAAATAAAAGTAATTGGCGAGCGTACTTTGTATGGGAGACAATGCTCAACAAAAAAATTATAAACAATTACAAGTCTATTCTGCGCTGGTAATAAAAAGCGTGTATCAGGTTTTATACCCTATTTTATGATTTCTAACTTTTATCTGGTTGGTTTTTCAGCAAAATTTCTTTGGCAAAGTTGTTCAACATGTCTCAGGCCTTAACTTTCGTGAACATATCAAGCGCCAGAAAAGAGGTCTTTGACACTTTTAGGTGGAAAATCTGAAAGCAGTTGTACATTAATTACACAGGAAAACAAAAAGAAAAAATTTTCTGAACCAGATGGTAGACCCCACTATTTCTAGGTTTTTGGGGTCACTGAAGACGAATATAAACAAAAAAATAACTTCAACGGATAATTTTCACGCACCCTCGTACAACCACAAAATTCATTTTTCATGCAAAGTTAAGATGGGTGTGTATTCCTGTCTTTCTCGGACCGTTGAAACCGAAAATGACTACAAAAAATTAATTACACCCCTCCCTCACTTCCTATAACCTCCTTGCTACACCCTGAATGGTTTAGTATTTTGAATTTTCATACAAAATTAAAATGTATGCGTATTTCCATGTTTTTGGGCGGCTGAAACCGAAAATGACTACATTAGGGTTATATTCGGTTAAAAGCGCCACACAATGGTCTGAAATCTAAATCTAGGTGGACAAAACTATTTGCTCAAAGACGCTTTGACACAATTTAACATCACTGTGTTTCTATATGTTTTTCAGGTCACTGATTTCGACTCTGAAGTCAGATTTTAAAAATTCAAAATGGCGTATCCAATATGGCGAATACAAAAATAAAAAAATTAAGGCGTGTTGATAAAACATGGCATGCAAACGATTTCGTGGTCGCTCATTATGAATCTGAAGTCAGATTTCAAAAATTCCAAATGGCGAATCAAATATGCCGAAAAGAAAAATGAAGAAATCAGTAAACTGTATTAAAACAGGGTATTTTGGGGTTTTTGAGATCACTGATTCCGATTCTCGAATCTAACTTTCTAATTTTGAAATGGGAATTGATTTGGACAATCTTTTAAAATAAAGTGAGTTTGGAGATGGTAGTGTCAAGTAAGTTTTATATTGTTAAAGTAGAAAACATTTTATTGTGAATAAAATTTTATTTTTATAATCTTTCACACATTAAAAAGCAGAAAACAAAACATGTTTCGAATAGTCGAATTGGTAAGAAACTGTATCAATAATGAAGATTGGGCAGGAGTGTTGAAACTGTTAATAAAGTTCGTCATTGTCTTCTGTGGTAGCTTCACAAGTAAACGTAGTAGGTACTTCTTGCGGCAGTTATCTTTAATTAACCACATATCCACTCTAGTTATTTTATTTAGTCACTATTTTTGCTTACGAATATACCATTTTCAACCTTACAACTTTCTTTTTTATAGTCATTTTCGGGTTCAAAAACATACATCTCAAGTTTGCATGAAAAATTACATTTCAATCCCCGGGGGTGGTTTTAAGAGGGTGGTAGCGGGAAAATGGTCAGTTGAAGTAATTTTTTTGGTCACATTCGTTTTCAGCGATCCCAAACACCTTGAAGTAGTGGGGTCTACCCTCTGGTTCATAAAATTTTTTGTTTTGTGTTCTCATGTGTAATTAGTATAAAACTGCTTTCGGATTTTCCACCTAAAAGTGTCCAAGACCTACTTTCTGGAGTTCGGTTCGTTCACGAAAGTTAAGGCCTGAGACGTTCTAAACAACTTTGTTAAAGAAATTTCTCCAGGACATGTTTTTGAAAATGTTTGAAATAAACACAGTGTAATTTATCAGAAGCACATTTTGGTATGCAAAATACGCGTAATCACTTCAGTCAATTTTTAAGAAAAACTGAGGGTGATTGAATAAAACTAAGTATGAGGTTCATATGCGGTTAGGTAGTAGTATCTAAAAAAACAACTTAATTTAGTTTAACAAAAGTATTGTATATCTAATCAAAATTTTATATGGGACCACGCTTGAGGTACTGTCTTTCCGATAAAAAAATGGCAATGCTTAATTTATTATTTCAGTCAACCCTTAAAATCTATTGCGACCTTAACTCTACACGATGAATAGGCTAGGACAAGGCGCATCCATATACAAATCTTCTTATCCCTACAGTTCCTACAGGAATAATTGTTCTGAATTCTCCGCAAATCATTCGATCCAGCGTTGTTTTTCATTCTGGCTGCATTTCTTTATTCATTCTGAACGTTTTTAATAAACTTTTTTGTTTACTTATTCTTTAGAACGTTCCTGATGATATGTTAACGTATATTTCAAACGCATTCTGTTTATTCTGGCTGTGAAATGGGATTATCTGGAATGTATAAAAAAACGCAGAATTTGCATCTGAAATTAAAAAAGCCTTTAACTCGAACAAATATGAGTGAGAATTATAGTTTCTGAAGGTGTGCTAAAGGTTCTTGTTCAATTTGAGCTCAAAAAGTTGTTGGGATCAATAGTTTTTGATTAACTAATTTTCGTTAGTTAACGCGAACAATTTTTGAAATCAAATTTTATATTAGTCGTTTATATTAGTATGTGTGAAATTTCAGACATTTAGCTCAATAGTTGTGGAAATAGGCGATATTGGTTTGGCGATTTGGTGAATTTACAGCAACATATTTTTTCTTGATGATTTTAAAGATTTTGAAGCAGCTCATATACATTTCGAAAAATCGGGCTTTTTGAATCGGTCTAATATACGTACATACTACATTAGACTGCATCACCTAATAAATTTGCGGGTTTTCCGGCGGGATTACAATACTTATTATATTTGAAGACTTCCGTGAGCTGGACCGATTTGAAAATACCTCCATAAATGTGTTCTTTATGAATAAAAATAGTTTCTTAAAGGATTTTTTTGAGAATAAATTTTCAATGCAATCTTAATGAAATTTTTGTTGCTGTTTTTTTTTAACTTTTTTCAAAGATTGGTTTAAGAAAAACTTGAATAACTCATTCATAAAAAATTAAATTTTTGGAGGCATTTTCAAAACGGTCCAGCTCACGAAAATCTTAATATTTTTCCAAATCAGCCGAAAGCCTCCGTTGCTAGCGCTGCGTTTCTTTTTAGTTTATTTAATAATTTTATTATTATTTAAGCTTTCATAAAATAAAAAAAAAAAGTTTCCAAATTATTTTGGTGAAAGTCTTAGAATAAGTATAATAAATTTTATAATTCCAATGTAAAAACAGTACCGATCTTTTTTTGTATGGGGAGTGATGCAGTGTAACATACATACTTACATACATATGTCTAATCTCTAATACGTATTTAAATTTAAATTCAAGTGTGCCGAGCGGAAGAAAGTGTGAAAGGCCCCAGCAAAAAAAGTTATCAAAAATCAACGGCAATTTTTAGCCACTTCAAACGTGCACATTAATACAGTAGAATCTCGAAAAAGTGAACCGAAGTGTCCCATGGGTGATTAACGTTTTCGAATTATTAACTTTTCTAAGTGCTTTTCAAAATTAAAAAAAATAAACATAGTTTTTACGAACTAAATTAGGCATTAAATGGCAAAAATGTCAAATGTTCAAAGTCGGGCATTAAAAAAAAATCGCGTCATTACATTAAAAAAATAGTAATTCACATGGCATTTTTTCAAATGGCATACATTTTTTGTCATTTCAACAATTGGATTAAAAGATTTGAGTTTTTAATGGAATTATGCCAGTGCGGGGAATTTCACCGAAAATCGGGGAATTTCGCGGTGGCCAACGGGGAGAAAGATAAAATGAGTTCGCATCCCTCGTTTCGACAATGAGTAATTTATTTAGGTAAAGCTGCCTTTATACGGGGGGATTTTTTGACAGCCGATAATCGCATGCAAAAGTTGACTTGCTGTCTACTTTGAGGCAAGCGATTTTTGAATCAGCATTTATATGAGCGAAAATCGCCTCATGTAAATGCAGCATAACACGCAAATCTAGTAAAACCATCACTATTAATAAGCGCTTTCCGTTTGTCATGTAATATTTTTGGTGCTTCATGATTTTAGATTAGACGATTGGTTGTCTAGGCTCGTTATAAAACTTTTGTTACTTTTTATGCAGATTTTAAACAACGTTTAACGGTTTAAAATAAATTTAATTTCAATGAAAACAGATCCATAACAATGATGTTTAAGCAACACTATCGATATTATTTAAAAAAAAAATATGGATTTTTGAGATCCAGAGCTGGTTTATTGCCCACTCCGTCTAAAAATATGTATTTTATGACTGCCTCTTTCTACGCAAAAGATCTTCCTTGAGTGCACGCAAACGATCACGCTCAGCGCGCAGATCATCCGCTTGACTGCGTAAGTCTGCTGTAAAATCAGTAAACATATTCATCATAGCTGATAGCAACTCCTCATTGGGCGTCTGCGAAGGCGCGTACGCATTAAGCGTTTGTTCGTCATCTGTGATCGTATTTTCGAACTTTGTTGGGTCAATTTTAGCAGCTAAATCTTCTTCGTTCGACTTAGAAATGGGCTGTGGTGCTGAAGTTGTTGTGCTGGTAACACGCTGTGACTGCACCTCTAATAAGCTATTCGCCATTTGCAATTTATCCATTGCGGCTTCCAAGGCAGCTTTTGTGGCATCGCTACTCTTTGGCCCTTCCACCTTTGAGGCGATATGCCCCTCTATCATATCAGTAGTATTCATTATGGTCTGAACGCGCTTAAAGCGTGCTTTTAATTGCGCAATCTCAGCCAACTTTTTCTGCAAATACTCAGCTGTTTCGGGATCTACATCCTCATCATTTTCAGGCGCACTCACTACGGAGACAGGACTCGCTGACTTAGTTTTGCTGGTGCTCGCTTTCACATTACTAGTTTGTTCCACATCATCGGTCGAAGTTGCAGTGGTCGTGGTTGTGGTTGTGGTTGTGGTTTCTTGTTTCACCTGCTCCGAAGCGCTAAGCTCTGTGGCATTCGTTTGTTGGGTTGTTGTATTTTCATTATTGGTTGCCTGAGTGAGTAATCCACCACTGCTCTGTTCATCCAAATGACCGAATTGCTGGTCATGCAATCGACTCAGTGTGGTGGCACGGTGACGTAGTACTTCCATTTCTTGCAGCAATCGTCGATGTTCCTCCTGCATCTCTTGCAATTGACGTTGAGAGGAGAGCAAACGCTGGAATGAGATAATTTAGTTTATATGTTTTTATTATTTCATGTATTTTTTAAATAACTGCATAAATATTTACCTCGCCAAGTGCTAAATTTTCCTGAGAAGGCCCTTTATTGAGTTCGTTTACCATTTTTAATGTTTACCTGGAAAATATGGTATAAACAAATAATTTGTTTAAATAAACATTAACGGAAATTCAACTCTATAGAATTTTTATAAATAATCCGCGCAATGAAATGTTTAAGCTAATTAAATTTGAACAATGCAAAGCGCTTGTACAAGGATGTCGGTATATTTGTATATGTATGTACATATGTATGTACACTGAGGGAAACAATTTTAGAATAAAAAAAAAAAAACGTTCTAAATTAAAAAAAAAATACGCATGCGAAAGAGCACCAACCCAACTCGTTTTAAATTTGAGTACGTACGTTATAAAATATGTCGTTGTGAAGTGCACAGATGCCTTTTCGTAATTAAGAAGGAAAAAATGGAATGGAATGGAAATTTTATAAATTTATTAGTTATTTAATTTTCAAGCAATTTAGCATTTCAATTCAATACCTCTCACGACGATAGTACTATCGAGACTATCGATGTTTTCAACTATAGTTTCGAAAACTATCGAGTGGCGATACTATCGATAGTATCCCAACAGTAATGAGTGTATGTGTGTATGTGTTGTCACCGATGTGCATGCTTTGTATACATACACTTTCTTAATTACATATGGCTCATTCCATCTCAAATCACCCAGGCTGAGGGAAAGTGAATTTAAGTTTGCGATAAAACTCACAGGGATTGTTCCTTGAACAATTTAAGGAGACACGTATTTTTTTCTTTTTGCTCAGAAATGCGAATTTTTCGAATAATGAATTTTTTGATTTTTGAGTACGAACGCTTCTTTTTTCCTCTCGTAATAGCAACTTTTGATGAAATCGTTTATAACTGCCGCAAAAAAGCAAGGATTTTAACGATTTTTTTTTTAATTGCAGATATTGATCTACTGAATCGATCTAGTGAACTAAACATCAGTAATTGTTTATTAATAATTAATTATTGTTTATAAACAAAAAAAAAATTTTTTTTTTCAAATTGATTTTTTCAAATTGCCACTTTTTTTTCTCTCAAACTTTTTTGTCTATTAGGGAATAGTATAAACTATTTCAGTACGGGTAGCAATATGCTAAAATTCATCGTTTTCGAGTTATGATTTTTTTTCTGAAAATGAATATGATGCTAGCAGATTTTCGTGCCAGTTGAGGGCACAAACATTGTTGCCCATTATGATAAAGTTTCCTTGCTGGAAATTTTTTGAGGTTGCCCGATCAGAGGCAAAAGTTTTTCCCAATTGGGCTCTAATTTTGGCCCAATTAGCGATTTGCCCAATCTACCGAAGATTTCCCCAACCAGTGCTCACAATTTGTTCAAAGTGAACATACATACGCAATTAAAACGTTTTTATCGATAAAATCACACATACACACATCAAAATTCCCTGCGAAAAAAATATTTTTTAACTTTTGTCTTGAAAAATTTTCCACATACAAATTTTTTGATTAAAAAAAATTAGTTTTTGAAAATATGCCATTTCAAAAAAAAAAAATGGAAAAAATCACAATGGTAGCTCTTAGTGTTGCGCAATATTTAAGTATAATGTTATGGGGTGCACCTACTGCTTAACCCCGAAAGCACTGCCTAAGGTTCATGATCACCGGTGCTTTGTTTCTGATGGTCATCTTCCCAGTCGATATTACTAAATATTTTAGTTTTGATCGTTTTTTTTCTGCATGAGACGTAAATGCGAGGTTTGTCTTCTACAGTATGGAGGAATGAATGAGCTCAAGTCCAAGTGACCAATGCGGCATCCTTAGTGTACTTACCTAATGAGTGCTATTTTTACAGTTCTTTCAATTTCCCCTGTCTACCTCCAAAAAATTCTTAGTATTGCACAAATTTTATTTTCCAAAGATAAAATGCTTTACAAATTTGATGAGTATTTTTTTAGAACAATAATGTTCTTTGTTTTGTTACTAGTGGTAACGAATTTAATAGGGCAACGAAGCAACAAATAAAACGTATGCTGGCAGTTGTATGTATGCATGCATGTATTTACATGCATATGGGCATTTCCTGAAAAGAGTGAAACACAAGTAATTTTTAGCAAAAAAAAACGACTTTAAAAAAAATATATATATATCTATATATTTCATGATCCAATGATCGGATGTAAACCAAATTAGTATGGGACCACCTCCGAGACACTACCTTTCCGTTGCAAAAAGAATTATTGAAATCGGTTGACGTGGTGCAAAGTTATGCGGTAACATACATAAAAAAAAAAAAATATTCCAACGAACTGATAACCTCCTCCTTTTTTGGAAGTCGATTAAAAATTAAAAAATAGAAATCCGCCTAAGCCAAAATTGATAACGCCATGCATGTTTTGTGTTTAATGTACTAAAATTTTTTACTAATCTGTCTATTGCATAGCAAGATATTAATGATTTGCTAACTACTATTCCTAATATTACATTTTTTTGTAGAAAACATAATTTCCAAAGAGCTTCCCAAATTGCGGAAGAAATTGATAAATAGAACTTGAAAACATGTGTACACTTGAATAACTGAGCCAAAACTATTCCGATTTAGACTTATGAGGTACTATTGGAAAGGTATGTTCTCATCCTTTTTATTTCTTTGCAAAAAAAGCTCATTCAAAGTATGAAAGAGAAAAGTAGGATGAACGAGCGTCATTATTCCAAGTTGAATAAAGATGTGTTGGTATTTAAAAAAACAAAAAATTAATGAGTTTTTGCACACAAATAAAAAGAGTGGAAAATACCTTTCCAATAATACCTAATAAGTCTAAATCGGAATAGTTTTGGCCCAGTTATTCAAGTTTTTCTTAAACCAATCTTTCACACATTTTCAACATTTCTGTATCAAAAAAAAAAAAAAAATTTCCTTACATGTTTTTGGCGGTTAGGGATCGATATATGAAAATTACGTGATTGACGCACGATCACGGAAGTTACGTGATTTGTCTCTCAAAACCGCTCACACTCACGTGTGAAAAGCGTGACACAACGTGTCCCGTAGAAAATCACATCTTTTGCCCTTCTCTAGTGCCAAAGTAAAGCCAAAGGTTTTGCTTTTTTTCAAGCATTCTTACGCAAAATAGCATATATCGTCGGCTGAGTGAAATATAGCCCTATCTTCGCGAATGGTTTAAGAACGTCCTATTTAAGAATTTGTTTCGGAAATGCCCTGTTTCAGAATTCGATTCAAAAGCGCCCTACTCAGATAAAATTAATTCAAATCTCAGTAGCTTTGTTCATTTCTTTCGAGTCTGTTAACTAATTACGTTTACAGTTAGTCAATAAAATTTAGGTACAGCGAATTTTTTACAATACGGGAAACTATTTTTTAAATATTTTATTTTTCGATAATTTTTTATAAAAACATGGTTAATTGTATAACAAAAGACCCAAAAATCAGAGTTCCAAACCTTGTGCAAAATTAAAGAAAATTCGGCAAAATTTCATTCAAATATTGCACTTTTTATTTACGCTCTCTAGAAAAAAGTTGAGTATGCAGTTTTTTAGCCCATTCAATTTTAGTATAATAAAGTACAAGTATGAGGAAGCTAGGACTTACCATTGATTTTTGGGAAACTTTTTCGTTTCGTTTTTTCCATATAAAAAAATTATCAAACATTATTTTATATGGAGAAAATGAGCGACACTTCTAACAAAAAAAAGTTGCTAAAAATCAATGGTAAGTCCTAGCTTCCTCATACTTGCACTTTATTATACTAAAATTGAATGGGCTAAAAAACTGCATACTCAACTCTTTTCTAGAGAGCGTAAATAAAAAGTGCAATATTTGAATGGAAGTTTGCAGAATTTTCTTTAATTTTGCACAAGGTTTGGAACTTTGATTTTTAAGATTTTTGTTGAAGAATTAACCATATTTTTATAAAAAATTATCGAAAAATAAAATATTTAAAAAATAGTTTCCCGTATTGTAAAAAATTCGCTGTACCTAAACTTTATTGACTGACTGTATGTATAAAATACACTGAGGGAAAAAAATTTTAGATTAAAAAAAAACGTGCTAAATTTAAAAAAATACGCATGTGAAAGAGCACCAACCCAACTCGTTTTAAATTTGAGTATGTTTGGTATAAAATATGTCGTTGTGAAGTGCACAGATGCTTTTTCGTAATAAAGAAAGACAAATTTAATGGAAATCCATACCATTTCTACGAAAAGTGTTGTTTCCCCGTATAAAATACATGGAAAACTTTGAGCGACCTCTAACTGCTTTTTGATTTCAAAGTAAACAAATAGGGGTATATTTTTTTCGATACAGAACAATCCTAGGGAGTAAGAGCATAAAAATTCCGACTTTACTAATTTTGGAACACCCTAATGAACACACATATCTGCGTTTAAAATTGCGACTTTGGATTTGAAATAAGATCTGCATCGTTACTATGTATCGATTAATTGATTAATCGCACATCCCTTATAATTTTTAACCAGATAACCTGATCATCTGGGCAAGTGCGTTATTTTGAAACAATCGTATTCTCTTTTATATACAACGTTCGCTAATCGGGAAATTAATAATTTTCACATCCCCAATAATTCTCAACCAGATAACCTGATCATCGAGCAAGTGTGAACACCAGACATCTGCAGCGGGTGCATGATTTTCGTGTATACTCGATCCTCTAACAAAACCCGTTTTGCATCGTTCTCTGTATACGAGCAGAAGTATTGTTCGTTATCGACTGAGCTCAAGACGAACATGTTGGCCACAACACCCGATTGCTTTTCATACATACTTGATTGGGTTCGGGTGCTTTGCAGCTCAATATACCCGGGTGTTCGAGTTTCAACCCGAGTGTGCACAAAATTTTCTTGATTGGCTTATGACGTTTTTGTTTCTACAAAAAATGTTGCCTTCTCATCGCGGTGTTCTTAGTTTTTGTGCGTAGAGGGTAAAGAGAAGTTTGAATTTTTCGGTAGTTTGTTTAAGTGTACATTTAACCATTTCTTATATTTTTGCTCATACAAAATGCGGCATCACGACGCCTACATCCATTTAGGTATAAATGTGTGTAGATCGGCAATGCCCAAGCCCTATACACTCGGTGCACATTTATTTTTTGTAAAAGTACTTATGTACCTACATAGTTTTAGGCTGTGTTCTAATATATACACACACAGCTTTCCACGCGAAACTATACGAAATAGATGCAAAAACATTTTTGTCTACTTCGCTTCTAATTTTTTCATTGCGTATGCACAAGCACAAAGCAACAACATTTTCGTATGCTTTGTGGGAACATATTGGCGCCAGTTACCTTCAGCGTAAATTTCTTTGTTGTCCTGCATTTTATCGCAATGTTCGGGTGTCCGTTTCATTGTTACACAAATTTTCGGGTTAGCTGCGGGTGTCCGAGTGTGGTGTTCGCTTGTGCTCAATTTATAGCGAGGGTGATCGAACAGACTCGTTCGTAACCAAAGCAGCTGTCGGGTATGCATCTCGATCGAACACATAGTAGCCGAGTGTGGCGTTCGCTTGTGCTTGATTTTTAGTGAGTGTGATCAAAAAGGCTCGATCATACTCAAAGCTGTTCTCTGGTGAACACTCTTAGTTTGTTACTTTTAGAGCAATCGTATTCACTTTTATTTATGTTCGCTAAACGGAAGCATTAAAATTTTCACTAATCAACAATGATTATTCTTTGATTAATTAATTAATCGGGTTTCGATTAATCAGCTTTTCCGATTAATTGATTAATCGCACATCACTAATAATTTTTAACCAGATAACCTGATCATCGGGCAAGTGTGAACATCCTTAGTTTGTTACTTTTATAGGAATCGTATTCAGTTTTATTTATTTTCGCTTTATTATTATAATACAAGATTTAAAGTGACAGCTGTTAAAGGCCTTACTTCTAGAATGTTAATAGAAGACTAAAAAGTGTGTACGTATGTATGTACATACATATATCTCACCGAGATACTTCAGCCTTTTCACATCAATTATACACTTTAGTTCTTTACCACTTAAATTATACTTTCGCAACAGAAACTTCACCATCTCAACACCCTATACGCAAATGCATAAAAACATTTCACGAACAACCTATGCTAAAAATAGTTAGCATTTATGTATTTTCATGTGATTGCACAAAAACTAATAAAATTTTTCAAGTTCCTTTCGGCACCTTCAAATTTGCATACATAAAAAGAAAAACGTTTTTGATAAATTATTATCACTTACACAGTGATATTCACCGCTCTATTAAAAAATGGACAACCAATGTCAAAATGTATCTTCTGAAAGTCTGAAACTTTGAAATTGTTGGAGTCTTCGAACGCGATTACCACCTCAAACAGTTCAATGGCTACTAACTGATTCAACAAATTTTCAGCGGATTTTCCGAAAATCTGAGATAAACTGATGCTCTGTTTTTGAGAAAAAACAAAGAGAACACAGCAAAGTATATGTATATGGGAAAATGCATGAAGATAAATAGATGGACAAGTATGTACTTACATACATAAATATACTTATGTACGTATACATATGTATGTATCTATAAGCAGGTGCGTAAAAGTCTTCACAGAGTCAGATGTGCGCCTGAAAAATGCTCTCGCTTAAATGTGAAAATATACTATTTATGTATAGTATGTATATTTACTACCAAAAAATACTCTGTAAAAATATAGAAGAATCTATAATATAGGGTGTCTAGTTCTGCGATTAAAAAGCTACACTGAAAAGAATGTGCCATTTAAGGTCATAAGATTAATAGCACATTATAATTTTTGACTTATGTATGTATATACCTAATGTAAGTAATGTTTTGGGATGAAGTGAAACAAGTTCAAAATTTAATATTTTTATTTTTTTTGACTTAGTAGTAAATATAAATATGTATATACATACATACATATACATATCACCTCTTCTATGTACCAGGCAGTGATGGGCAAAGTGTGTATACTAAATGCTAAGTAAAAAAGTATTTACGTATGTATTTTATGCGTTTTCTTTCCAACAAAAAGTTTTACCTTAAATACTTAGAATAAATATTTTTACTTATTTTCACAATACTAAATACTTAGAATAAATATTTTTACTTATTTTCACAATACCAAGTAGAAAATTATTTAGTTGCTTTCACCTAACGTAATACCGCTTACAGGATTACTTAGTATGTTTGGCTTCACAAAAGCCGGATATAAAAGTACTTAGTATCCATGGCTTCACTATGTACTGTATACCAAAGTAAAGTCGAGAAATGTCGAAAACTCCGAAATAGTATCAAAACCAAAAAAGCCCGGAAAAGTGCCGAAAAATGTGGTATAAAGATCCCCGATAAGTCCCGAAGAACGTCAAGAAATGTCAAAAAAAAGGCCCAAAAATTCTTGAAAAATCCGGATGAGGAAAAAATCTGTTAAAAATCTTGAAAATTAAAAAAAAGCAAATCAACAAGCACTTCATTATATTATCTTTCTTTTCCTGAAGAATTCTAACAGGTACCTTAACAGGTCATTGCAGATTGAGAAGTCACCTACACAAACTCTGGGTCTGGTCCACTGATTCATGCCGTTTCTGTGATAGAACCGCTGGAACTTCTGAGCCTCGAATGCGATGCATTGGAGACGAGACGAGAGAAATACTAAACCCGCAGTCGAATCACATGCACTCGATGTCACCTAACAATCCACTGGATTTCCTAAGGGAGCTGGGACTGAGGGAGGTGCTGTAAGGAGCAAGAGGGCTTGAGCTGGAGAAACATCGATGGAAACATCGATGGAAACATCGATGCATCGATCGTTTTATATAAGCTGCTACCTGTTTTTTTTTCTCAACATCGATGTTTTTTGCAAACAGCAAATCAACATTTATTTGGCGCATAAAAAGGTAAAATTAAGCAATTATTAATAAGTCAGCAAAAACCTTAATAATATTTAAAAGACTTTACGTACTCCATTTACATGATTCAATAATTATAATTAAAGGTTTGCTCACGAGTGCCACTCCCTCACAAAAGGTTGCACACACACGGTGCCGTGCTAAAGACGCCGATTTTGTCAAGAGGAAGCGAAAAAAACTGTTTTCTGAACAAACCTTTTATTATTGAATCATACCTCATTTATATATAAATAACTAATTTTTAATATCGAGCCCTTGAAGATACAACTTTGTGGCTTTGCGTGACATTTATAACTTTGCCAGCAAAGCGCCAGACGCAAAAGGTATACAATGAACGACAAGAAAACAATTTTGTACTGCTTTTTTACTCGTCAAAATTGCTATGCATTTTATACATTTAGCTTTAAAAATATCATCAATGTAATTAAATTTTATGATTCTGATGAATAATATTAAACCGGCTGATTGTCAACGCGCGCAAAAATATGCGAGTTGGCCATCTTTTCGCTTCGCGCTGCAGCTGCAAGGATCTATGTTGCATGATTTTGTGCATTTTCATACAATTCATCTTATCTGTTCAAGCGAATCTCTCACGCAAAGCAAAGCAAACGTTTTATCTGGCATCAGCTTTATACAACATTTGTTCCAATCAGCAAAAATCGTCAGCAAAAATCTTTATAATTATTAAAAGGCTTTCAAAACTTTGCTGATTTATACCCACATAAGTAATTTTTGATCTCAACCCTTTGAAGGGACAAAAGAAATATAATTTTAGTACTAAGCAACTCCTAAATAGCTACTAATTTCTTTACTTGAAATGCCTGAATACCCTAGTTTTTTTTAAATTAATAGGTAATCTATACATATAATAATATTGTAACAGGCCGATGTCTGTATATTATAGCTAGCAAAGAAAAAATAATTTGGGGGTCTTTATTAGAGTAACAGAAGTCAAATCAACAATTTTGTAGAGTTTTGTCTATCTGTCTGTATGTTGGTATTTACGCGCATCATTCGAAAACTAATGCATGAAATTAAATGCAGTTTTCACAGATGCATTGCTAGAGGTCTAATTTGAAATGTAGAAAAAAAGTAGAGAGTTTCCACCTGTTTGAAAATTGCAGTCTAAGTAAATTGATAAGATAATGTAAATATTGCAATATGGCTGCCAAAAGAAAGAGGTTTAAGGAGGCTTACAACCGAAAATATTTTTGTTTGAAAATTTTAAGTCAATTTAATTGATAAGATAAATTGAATATTGCAATATGGGCATCAAAGTGAAGAAATTTAGGAAAGTTTACTGCCGAAAAAAATTTTTTGAGGAGGATTGCCACCTGTTTTAAAAATTGCATCAATGAAATGTTACAATATGGGAAATATTACAATATAGCACAAAAATACGCCGAGTATTTGCTAGTCAAAATAAAAAATTTCTCATACGACCCGTATTACATTAGTCGAAAATTAAAAAAAGGTATACCTACAAATCTACATACATATTTACACATATACATATGTACACTGAGCGAAAAAAATATGAAAATCAAATAGAATCGTAATTAATCTTGCAATAAACGTCAACTGTATATTGGTAAATATTCAATTCAATTACGCGCATATTAAAATGACCGCGTCCGTTCTGACAAAGCATCCGTGAAGTGAATAATCAAGACAAAAACTAAAAAAAAAATATTTAGTTTGCATGTTGCCAGGAGTGGAATTCGAATCCTGACCATCTCTGCATATCAACAAATTGTGGCAAGCATCTTTGCGCACTCAGTTACACCCAGACATATAAATTTGCTTTCAAATGTTTAAATTTGTTTAGTATTTTTTTGAGTATGCGGTTTGTAGCCCATTAAATTTTAATATAATAAACTTCAAGTTTTAATTAAGCGATTACAAAATTGGCGTGGATTTTTTAAATTAAATATTGCGCAACACTCAGAGCTGCCATTGTGAATTTTTCCATTTTTTTGAGATGGCATATTTTCAAAAACTATTTTTTTTAAATTTGTTTGTGAAAATTTTTTCAAGAAAAAAATTTAAAAAATATTTCTTTTCATAGAGAATTTTGGTGTGTGTATGTGTGATTTTTTCCTCGCCTCGTTCTCGAGATATTTGGAAAACTATTAAATCGATTTGTTTTTGTTTTTGTGCTGTAAAGTTTTTGAAGACGTATTAATCATGCTCAAATTTCATATTTATTTATTATTTATGTTTATCCATCAACCCTAAAAATTTGAAACAAATCAAACACATGAAGTGTGAACCCCGTCCATTTTGCTGCGTTTTGGTATGGAACGCCCCATATACATGGTCAGATGTGAACAGTCAAATACGTGCGTAATAAATTTTTGCATGAAAATATTATTTTTAAATACGAACATTTTTAAACGATAATCAAATATAAAGTATTAATTTTTACTATGCATTATTTCCCTTAGTGTATGTAACATTTTTGTTTATTTACGGAGTGGTGAAACAACTTAATAGAAAATCAAGTTCTTTTGCTGCGAATTTCTTTTAAAAAAGCTATTTTTATTGAAGGTATCTTAAAATCCAACAGGTCTTTATTCAGTAACCGGCAGACTTTTGTATAATACTGGGTTGGAGAAGAAAATGAGTTAGGGCTCTCATATATTATGGCAACAATATGTTTCTTTAAAAAAGCTTTACAATTAAAAAACTGTATTGCTAACAAACTCTGCGTGAGCTCAGATTTTATTATCATATTTTTTACATGCACAGTTATTGATTCATCAAAAGAAAATTATGTTAGGCAACCACTGCCTTGCCGGGAGAGCGTGCAACATTTTCTGGCGTACGACAAGTTTCCAATTTAGCATCGTAAACAAGTCCCGGCGTACACTCAAGTACAACACCCATGCCATTCAGGCAATAATAATACTTGGCTAGATCACGATGGGCAATAAAACTGGCACCTACGGCGGGACACTCGATGTCAGCGCGTCTGGGTGGCATTTTTGAATAAGGAATGATGTTGCGCGTCGCAGCAGTGATCTACAAATAATGTAAAATCTTGCTATACATAATATAATTTTTTACTAAATTATAACTACATTCACGAACTTACAGTGCAATTGACCCTCTCCGCGAAGTCACAACAATTACAAGCCGTATTGAATAGTAAACCTTTGGAACAATTCTGCGCATAAGCATACCCATCCATGCAGATAAAGTACTTATCGCACGACGCCTTGCTGGTGAGGAAGGTGATATTTCCTGGATCGTTGAATATGGTGCACATATTGTCCACACAATCCACATATTGTGGAAAGTCACAACGATCTGTCTCGGCGTTATATTGCAGCCCATCAGAGCATTCGCGTAGAATGGGTGTACCCGCATAGCAGAGCACATATTTTGTGCATGTACGATCATAGCAGAAGGACGACAGCGCATTGCTGCATGTGGGCAGGCACTTAGCCACGTCCGGGTAAGTACAACTCTGCTCCTTTGAGTCGAAATGGTAGCCATATTCACATTCACGTTCTATAGGTTGACCGCTCATGCAGATGTAATATTTCGTGCAGTCGCCAAGATAGGGTAGGAATATCTTATCGGCAACGCCACTGCAAATGTTCACAGGAGCTAGGTCGGCCAGAAGTTTGCCAAAAGTGGTGCAAGCCACAAAAGTGTATAGAAGAAATTTCACTGAAAGGTGAATTAAGAATATTTAAAAACGTTTAAAACGACTGTACTGTCCATGTTCCCACTCACTTGTCTTATTTGTATGAATTCGTATAGTCTCTTTCGTCGTCGAATTGAAACTTTTAAATGGTTATTAGTTAATTGATTTTGGGCCATTTTATAGTTTCGCCTATGCACTGTCTTATTTTACCCCAAAATATGACTAATTTTCGTTATCAATTTTTCAAAAATAAGCGTTTGCGCGAATATACCTATGTATAATACGTAGTATATACTATGTATGTATGTACATATCGTCGATGTTTTTGCAAAACCGCCCATCGCCCAATTGCAAAACCGCCTATCTTACGGCACTCAAATTTTACAGGAGAGCGAAAAAACGGTTTATTCTTTGAATGCATTGCCTTGAAAGGCGGTATTTTCTCTTGCTAAAACTGACAAATCTGTTGTTTTAATAACGATTTGACGATTCTTATGCATAAATCTCGATGCCTGGAGTTCAGGGCTACCAAATCTAGTTTTTGTCACAATGGCGATTTAGGCGGTTTTGCAACTGATCGATGGGCGGTTTTGCGAAAACGACGACGATATGTATGTCGAATTTATCTAAAAACATTTCCCAGAAAAAATTGATAATTTGATATTTACATACATGCGATATTACTACACCAACAAATTCTTCAAGGTGACTTTCATCTCGCGCTGCACATTTGACAAAATTTTGAAGGAAACTTAAAAAATTTGTCACATTCGATAGAGAATATCGCAAATAACATTTCCCAGTCCCCTTCACTTTTTTTAACTTGCACAGCGAACGCTCACCGTTGACCGGAAACAGAATATTATAACGCTGCTTATAAATAAATTTTCGCTCTCTAGAAAGATCGTGACGGTTACGCAACTAGTATATACCCTGCAGGAAATTGAATTAGTTTGAAAGTAATTTATAAACTACTTTATTTTCAATGATAACTAATTGAAATTCTCACTATCTTACCTGCAACGAACTCATTTATTTAACATGGCGATGTCCTAGGAAGCAGTCCATTGCCTTTTCCTGCATGTATTTTCAACTACTTTAAAATGAATTTGGCTTAAACAACATCAGAAATGTTTCTTTTGAATACGCTTGCGTTCTGGACTTCACAGATGCTTTTTCATACTTCCAAGAAATAAATTGTTTTTTTTTTTTTTGAGCAAAAAGAGTATAAAAATTCGAAACATTTCCTCATTGCATTTGTTTTAAAGTAGTCTTTCATCACTTGATTCCGTCAGGGTAATTACACTACTTTAGATCTATTTTAATAATAAAATTAACTTTTTAGATGAACTTAAGACCGCTGAACCAGAATATGAATCCAATTAATTGAAAAAAAAAATAGTTTTCGAGATATGAGCAAAAGTCACATTTCTAGGACCTTTCGGTCCTGTTGCTGGAAATCTGCGGGAATGTAAGGCAAACCCAATTATGTTATGTATTTCGGAATAAACATTTATTTTCCTTTACATTGGTGTTATATAAGTGATGATTAAAGAAATATTTTTGGGTATACAAGCTTTAAAATTTAGATAAATGTCAATTTAGATAAATCTACGATATTTCAGTAAATATTGTATCCAAATTGTTGAAAATTGGTATGAGAAGTAAAATTATGGGACAAATTAGGATTATTATGAAATTTTTGGAAAATGGTAGTGGCCCCGCCCACTTATGATGAAATGCTGTATCTCAGTAGCCGCTTCAAACTCGGTATGAGCCGTGCTTAGGCTATATCTAACATACTTTGAACATCTTTGAAGTCGGCCGATAACCACGCCCACTTTCCATTTAACGGTAATTTACAGAAACACGAAAACTGCGCTAAATCAGTAACTATATACATAGACTAATTTCAGATGAAATACCATAAACGACTTAGAATTGAATTTGTAGGCATTCATCAAGAATTGTCTTTATTTTGTTTAATCACTCCAACGCCACCTTGCGGCTCTTTTTTCAATAGTATCGCCCCTACCGTTACCAATAAACATCTTGTTTATGAGGCAAATCGGACCATACATACGATTTTTAGTAATAACTCGACTCCAGAGCCACCTGGCGAGCCATTTTTTCGCAGAAATATTTCCCTTCACTTTGCCAATACATATTTTAAATATTAGCCGGATCAGCTCATAAATACGATTTTTAATAACTCGACTCCAGCGCCACTTGGCGTTTTAAGCTGTGAACCTAAACTATACAGGGAATTTAGGACAAAAATTTCATTAAAATCATTTCGGTTGTTTAGGAGGAGTTCACTATAACCAAAAAAAGCCTTTTTCAAAGAAATCGGTACAGCCGTTCTCGGGATCACTTCTTACAAAAAGGTGGCAATTCTCTTAATATAATTGGTATAGATAATAAGTATATTCTATATTCTATGTAATAGATCGGTCTCTGGTCCACCTAAAATAAAAAAGTATCCTATATGTTAATCCAGGCCAAATCTCAAACAAAACGGAACATATTAGAAGAAAAAATGGATCCTGTATGTTAATCTAGGAACGTACTAAATTTCAAGCAAATCGGACGATAAATAAAACATTTTCGAATACTTAGATCGGTCTCTGGTCCACTTCACGGAAAAAATAATCAATATATGCTAATCTAAGCAAAAAGCTACCTACGTTCCAAATTTTAAGCAAATCGGACCATAAATACGATTTCTTCGATTGGATCGGTTCCTGGTCCACTTCACCGAAAAAAAACGAATCATATATGCTAATCTAGGTAAAAAACTACCTACGTACTAAATTTTAAGCAAATCGGACCATAATAATATTTTTACGAATAGATCGGTCCCTGGTCCACCTACCGGAAAAAATAAATTTTTTTTTCCTAAAACATGGTGGTTGCTGAAAGCTATTTATATACAAAATTTCATGAAAATCGGACCAGCCGTTCGCGAGATTTCCAGTGACAAAGGAAAGGGACTTCTCTTATATAATTAAGTACAGATTATTACAAAAATTTAGTTTTATTACATTTTCTTACCTATACTGTGATAGTACATATTTGCAATATCTAATTCTCTAAATTAAAATTGAATTAGATTTTTTAAACAGGTGACAGCCCTGGGAGGTTGCTTAGAGATAAAGCATTTTCAAGCCCATTTCCATTGATACCCATATTGCAGCAATTCATTTAACTAATTGAACAAAAATTTTCAACAGGTGGCAACTCTCCTCGCCGATACGAACCCGTTAATATGCGTGTTCCTACAATCGGACCACGGCAACATGGAGTCCATCGATGTCGCACGATAAGCAACTTTATTTTCTTTGTTTTGATGGAAGAATTTACTTGATTATAAACATTTACGTCTTTTTTAAACATTTCGAGTTGAAATATCCATGAAAATAATTTTGACGCATAAATCGCTGTGCCCTCGCACAAAACATTTGAAATTTGTTTATACAGTTAGAGCAGGATAATATACAACTGTTCTACTCTTACATAAAATATCTGAGTTGCATGCCACATTAGTTTAATCATCATAAACTGGATGAAGCTTTACCAAAGTAAAAGCTTTCCACCCGACAAACGTTTACGAAAATATGTTCGTTTTCGAATTTTTCGCATAAAACTATAGGGAACGGGTTCCGAAAAATTATCGTAAAAGCAACAGGTAATACGCTCAGTTGGTGGCAGCATAACTCTCCTTCTATTGATCGACGTTTCTCAGAAAAAGCGTCGTTTGAAGCTTTCACAAAAGAAAGCTCAACATATACAGAAATTCACGACGAAAGTGTTACCAAGAATAATAAATGCAATGAATATTTATGAATATATGTATAGTTCCTGTTGGCGTGTATTCCTCTATTGTGGTCCATGTCGAGCCTTCCGTTGCTAACTCATCAGCTGTTAAATTTCGGGGAATATTGCGGTGACCAGGGACTCAAAATAAATTATTCAAAAGAGTTTTGCACCCCAAGAAAATGTCGACCCGCCCGTCATGACGGTGACGTAACCTACTACGGTTCGACAAACGACTGCATTCAGTGAAAGCAAATTCTTCTGCCTGGGAAACACTCTCTAATTCAGGTAGATGGATCGATCTTCCTACTTTCAGGGATATAGAAAAAGCCAAAAGATGTACAGATTATGCCGAGGTATCGAATTCCCTATCCCAGTCGGATCTTGATCGGAGAAGAACTGCGAAGAGCCTTTGAAATTCTATTTCTTGAACGGCAAACGTTAATTTGTTTCCTATATAAAAGTTTCCCGAAAATTTTAGTTCTTTATAAGCCAGAGTGTCATGACAAAAGAGGTGACTATGATAGAGCATTTTTCTTTAAAACAACACAACGGCAATAACGCAAATTTGTGTTATTTCACATTTCGCGTCCCCCGCCCCCCTCCCTTCCTTTACAATTATGAACTGGCATTACAACCGTTTAGAAAAAAAAATTATAATAAAATAAAAAAATTAATAAAATGACACTAGTTCACTTCTGAAACTACTTTTTAATGTCCAAGTAATGGGAATTATTGCTTATGGTGTTATTGCATGCACACCACCCATGGTGGAATTCTACCAGGTGAAGTAATATTAGAGTGAGAAGAAAGATTTTGATACTGCCTTATTTGAAAATTTGCCTACAAAATGTAACTATAAGGCAGCCGAATGTCAGAAAATAAAGCAAGAAAGCTGTTTTATTTCTTCACGTATTTATTGCGCCATGGTTCCATGCAGACAAAATTCGTACAAAAGCGCTAGGTCCAATTTGCCGAGCAGTTATTAAAGTTGACGCTTTCCCTATATTTTGTTAGACTTTTCATAAGTAAAAATATTTGTTTAATTGTATTTTTGTAATAAACAAAGTTCTTTTTCTTCTGTCAGTAAACTGTTTTTGTTACAAATAAGGCAAACGATTTTGGTATTATTTCCCATTTAAAAGTGAAATAAAGCAAATTTTGCGTTGTTGCCGTTTGTGTTATGTATTAGACTTCAAATCTCTAGCATATGCGGGTATTCATCGAACTGAAATGAATTCAACAGCTGCTACATGCGCTATACCAGGTCCCCCCAAGGTAGGTATTTAAAATGGGCGAAATCGGTCTGTAACCACGCCCACTTCCTATATAACGGTATTTTCGAAAAATACAAGAACTGCGATATTTCAGTAAATAAATAAATTATAAATAAATTTTTGTACTTGGGCATTTCATCGCAGAAGATTGCATTTCAAAAAGTGCTTACGAGTTTATTCGCAAAAGTAGCTTACTTCACGTTGTTTTGAGCATATATTTTATAGAAAAACACAACTTTAAAAAAATTCAAAGTTAACATAAGCTGTGGAACTAACTGTTTGACAATTCGTCGCCTGCGATAGCTCGCAAGCGATATCTGCTGCTATCATTGCGATGAACGGTCTCCACGAGCGATTCATCGCCGGAGATATATAGCAGCAAATGAACAATCGCTAATCGAGACAGCAAGTTACCATACTCGGTAAGAAATTGCTGAACATTTTTGAAATCGCGCAATGACCACGCCCACCTACCATATAACAGCAATTTACAGAATCACGAAAACTGCGTTAAATCAGTAACTATTAAAGCTAAGTTTCTTAAAATCGATGATTGCAATAACCACTTAGCAGAAAATTAGATTATTATACATTTTTGGATAGTGGGCGTAGCGCCGCCCCCTTATAACCACAAATGTGTTTTTCGTTAACCTATTTAAAAATTATTAAAATCGAACTAAAATTACACCCGCTTCCCATATAACGGTAAATTTCAGAAATACGAAATTTCAATAACTAAGGACGCTAATTTACTTTAAGTTAAAAGTTGCGACAATCTCTTAAAAATAAATAAGACTGGTATAGACTTTTGGGAATTGGACGTGGCATCGCCCATTTTATGACTACAAAGGTGTATCTCGGTAACCACTTTATCGATTTCAACCAAACTTGGTTCAAGTATATCATTGAGAGCCGGTTGTGTCTGGTTAAAACAAATCGGACGTGGAAGCTCTGGTTAAATACAACAACTGCTTTATCGACCACAAGTTATAGCATTCTCAGTTTAAATGAAATCATATTTAAATTAAGTGAAACCTTTTTCAAATGAAGTGAAACCTTTTTCAAATAAAGCGAAACCCTTTTTCAAATTAAATGAAACCTCTTTCAGATTCAATGAAACTTTATTCAAATTAAATGAAACATTCTTAAAACGAAATTTCATTTAATTTGAATAAAGTTTCATTGAATCTGAAAAAGGTTTCATTCAATTTGAAAAACGTTTCGCTTTGTTTGAAAATCGTTTCATTTAATTTGAAAAAAGTTTCAATTAAACTGAAAATGCTTTATATGCATGATGCCGATATCGCCGATAATGATATTTAACTGGGAGGTAGTGATAAACAGACATTGAACAACCGGCCCTAAGTCTAACTCATACTGAGTTTCGAAAACGTTTGAAATCGGGAAAAACGTTCCGGATTGTCTTGCAAAATTACTTTAGAGAAAGTTGAAATGACGATATTTGAAACCTGCGCTGGGTTTATAAAGTTCGGTTATATAAAGTGAATGTATGTTGCCGCATAACTTTGGGCCACGTGAACCGATTTCTTTTCATCGGAAAGATGGTACCGCAAAGTCCAAACTTATTTGGTTTAGATCCGATCATAGGATCGTGAATAAAGCAACGGTAATCCTAAATTTATATATGAGGAACGATGTCGGTTGTGTTTATTTTTACTTAAAGATTACTTTTTTAGAAGTCAGCTCGTCTTAAGGCGACTTCTATACTATATTTTCCCAATGAAATCAACATTCATAATCTCATTCCCATTTTTTCATTAAAAATGATTTCACCTTGTTTTCTTTAAATATTTTTATGTTGCAAAAATATCCGATTTACCCACACCACAAAAATCTAATGCACCTTGGTATATGTATGCAATGAATTGCATTTGTTGAACCACGAAAAATGTCAATGCTTCTTTTGAATGTCTTCTAAACGACGGCAAGCACCAACTTCCTTGTCAAAGTACAGACTCGCTGCACAGGTCATGAGAGCACCCTTACCATTGACGCACATGAAGTACTGATTGGGATTGCGGTGGGCAAGGAAATTAATACCTTCAATAGGGCATTTGATGTCAACCATACGAGGAGCGATCATAGCCGCTGTTTGCAAGGAAACAGATCGTGAACTACTTTTGGAAATCTAGAAAAGTAGAAAAAATTATATCGTATCAGGAAGGGGAGAGAGAGCAAAGAGACAAGCAAGTGAATGTGTATCAAAAGTATGTAAACTTACTGTGCAATTAACGTTGGCAGGCAAGTCGCAGCAATTACAATCGCTGCTGAAGTACAAACCAGAGACGCAGGATTGATTTTGAGGCAAGCCATTCATGCAGATAAAATATCTGCAGAAGAAAAAAAAAATTAACTAGAATTTTCAATGTATGCGTGAACATTTGCACTCTTACTTGTTACAAGCCGATACGCTGGGAACGTAGACAATATTTTGAGGATCTTGGTAAATGGAGCAGCGATCTGCAGCACAATCAACATTCCTTGGCAAATCACATGCACGTAAGTTGGGGTTGTATTGCAAATTGTCAGCACATTGTTGCAGAACAGGCGTGCCAGCGAAACAGAGCACATATTTGTTGCAAGTTTTGATCAGCGCAGTTGAATTCAATACATCCTTATCACATGTCAAGCAGCCAGAGCTTGTTGCTACACACGATTGTGAGGCCGCATTGAAGTACAAACTGTCCCGGCATTGCTGTGCGATAGCTTGACCATTGTTGCAGTAGTAATAGTTGGAACAGTTTGTTACATCCGCAATAAAAATGTTATCGGAAACACCCTCGCAAACATTAACCGACGCAGCATTAGCACTGGTGGCGATGATGGCGAAGAGCGCCAGTAAACCGATGGCGTAGAAGCGATTCACTAAAATAATTGAGCAATTTGGATGGTAAAAAAAATTTAAAATGCCAAAAAATATATCCTGTTTCCAGTGGCACTCACTATTCGTTGGGAAAATGTTTTAGAACCAGTTGCCAGTTAGAGTTGTCCCGGGGCAGTTAAGCGGTAGCGGCCGTAAATGTCGTCAAGTTAAACAGCAAAGTTTGTACTGTTTGTTCCATATAGAATGACTTCATTTTTATATTCGTACATACGATGTTAATAGCTAGATAGTCGCGTATCACAGCGTGTAGCCACTCAGGCGATGGTAAAGATGCTATCAATTTACGATCTTATCGAAGCCTATTTTTGTTGTACCTGTGGAAGCATATGTAAGTATTGAAATTATAGAAGCGGCATTTTTTTATTTTGTTGTACATACTTACAAGAATAGATTTTTTTTTTTGACTTCCTAAAACATTGAACTTCATTATGTTACACTCGTAGATGCTGGTTCACGGCTTTATTTGTATATTTTTTTTTTTAGATAAACAGACCAGAGAGTACAGTTTTTCTTTTTAATTTCATATATTTCTTAACCGTCTATTGCATGAATTATGAATAAACAATTCCTAATTGTGAAAAACACGTTATTTACGTATCAATAAACCTTAAACGAAAGACAAAACGACTCCAATTCATTTATTTTAAATATTATTTAGCAAAGAAATACATATGAAGAAAATTGTATGAAAACAATAAAAAACTGTTGGGTATCGATAAACTAACTATTGATTGACACAGAAGAGGATGTGTTCATTAAGGAAATATTTTTTATTTTACAAAAAAACAATTGCGTTTTCACTAGTTTCCCTTTTTGGCAGTTCAATTCCGCGCACACGAGTATACGTTTTTGACCACTCACACAAAAGTGAGGTTATATTCAAATGTCCTCTACCCCTAGACAGAATAATTACATTCCGTTATTCGTAGTCAACTTTGCAATGCATTCAATTTGTTGATTTTTCATGAAAGTGTAGTTAATTCGATAAATAAATCACTTAAATATAAGTTTAAAATATTTAGCAAAATTTGCCAATTTTCAGCAAAAGTTCAAAATTTTTTGCATCTTTTGCAGTTTCTGGTTTGAAGTTACTACAAAATCTCGTTGGTTTTTGATAATTTCTGACGGTATTGGGTATTCGCTTTGATCTTAAAAAAAAAATTCAAAAATATTTTGTACTTTTGGTTCTTTTGACAGAATACTAATTCATTATTTTACTAAAGTATATAAGTACCAGAGTTGTGCAATAATGTTAAAGTAAAAAAGTTAATGCATTAATTTATGAAATTTAACTAAAATTAATATTTCAATGCATTTATTCTGAAAAATGTAATGCTAATGACATTTTTTCCATTAAATTATCCAAGCTAATGCTAAAGAAAAAATTTTAATGCACTAAAATGTTTAATACTTTTGCTCGTTTGCATTGTTAAAAACCATTAAATTTGTTTTCTAGTGAAAGATGAATAACCTCTTTTGGAAGGACTTGGAATAATTACTAATAGTTTTTTCAGCTTCATTATATTATGTGTATTTGTAGAAAAATTCTTCTAAACATTTTTAGATGTTTTATGAAAATAAAAGCCAATGTGTATGCAACTCAGAGTGCTTTTGTAGATTTTTATGTTGATTGTTGATGCCATGGAACTTGACATAGTGAAAACCAGCCTTAACGTCCGTTACAATCTTTTTTGACCTTAAAATTCTACCCTCAACGTCAGCAAAGAGTTTTAACTTCGAAATAAAATTGGTTAATGGGTTTTTAATGCTTGTTATAATTTTAATGCAATAAATTATTGCAACAGAATTCATTTAAACATTTTAATGTTAATACAAAAAAAATCATTGGCATTATTTCTTCGGAATTAATGCAGTGAAATTTTCATTTACATTTTTCATTACATTATTTTCACTTAACTATACCATTTGTTTGTATTGGTATAAATAACTGCAAAAACGTCTTCAAACTTTCTCGAAAATATAAAAAAGCGCCTTTTAGCTTTCATATCTAGCGCTATCAACGGATTTTTACCCAAGAAGCTGCAGAATATGTATGTATACTTACCTCAGCAATAACAACAAGCATTTTTACATGCTTTTACATATGTATGCACAATTGTATATACAAAAAATATGTATTGATGTGTACATACATAATTTACAAGTATGTTAACAACTGATAACTCGAATCTGACTCGTCGATAACTTCAACCGAATACAAGTTCAATGTTATTGAATATTTGGCGAAACAGCAAATAACACTTTCGAAATAAGTTTTTTGCTTTCATTTTAATTGCACGCGCAGTTTGTTAGACTTTTATTAAATGAACATTTTTTGATTAAGTCAATTACTTATGAAAAGTACTTCTACGTTCCAATTGCCGATTCATAGCAGCAATAATTTCAGGCGCACCACCGACTGTGTCGCAGTACATACATACGACAACAAAGTTGTATGTAGTTCCGACGGAAGTGTGATATGACAGAAGATAAATCCAACAGCGCGTTCCCGTACTGCAGAATTTAGTCAGAAATAGACTGAAGTCGTTGCCGTACACGGATTTACAATAGCTTCAGTACTATCTTCGGGACTATTTCTGACTAAATCATAGAGTACAGGTACAGGTCACTAATTTTATTTCTGCTAGAAAAATTATACAGAAAATATCTGTGGTCCATAATATTAAGTTTTTAAATTTTAACGCACGTCAGGTAAAGCTCCCATTTGAAGATTCAGTTAAAAGCGTATGCGCATGATTTCGGAGTACGACTGACATTTGCGCTGAAAAAATATGAATACATACATGCAAATAAAGCAGCATCACAAGAGTAGGCAGCATCAATTCAGTACACACACACACACATGCACACACACACACATGGCATAACATAAGCGGTCAAGATGTCAAAGTCCTACAATAAGCTTTCATCCTGCCAAATCTCTCACAGTCGCTGAGAGCAAAGACATTTTATAGAAGAGCAGCTCCACATGAATGTGACCGAGCAGTTTGCTTATGTTTTAGTCCTTTCGCAGACACACGACCGACAGTAGCGCGAGTCAGCAAGCTGAGTGACATTCACTAGTGTATAAAAGTAGCTCGCGTAAAAAAATTACTAACTAAATACAGAAATTAATAAAGAAAAATATCTATCACAAACATCGTTTAGCTGCCATCTAAGCTTAAAAATATTAGTATCAACTTATTCGTAATTAATATAGAAATATGTAAGAGTTTGTATTTTATTAAAATAAATCGCGAAAACGTGACTATCCAATAGGCAAAAATATTGCATTTCGCCATGGCTAGTGTGTGCGAAAATGTAGTATAAGCGAAGTTGCCAAGAATTGGGTGCAAGTAGGTAAAAGCCGAGGGAAATTTTCAAGGACTCGTCGGGACAATCCACACATACACGCACATATGCACATATACTTACATATATACATATATGCATTCTTCAATTTGCATTCAAGCGACCAACAGCAGAGGCAGCGACAGCGACAGCAGCACCCTATGTGTTCAAAATAGTGTTAAAAGTAATATATAAACAAATATTTATTTGTGTACAAGTGTTCTGTTTTTTTTTTGGTTTTTTTTTGTGTATTCGCGTCTACCAAACGCGCTGAAGACAGCAGTGTCAGACGAAAGGTGAATTTCGCCAAAACAAAGAAAAGTAGAAGACCAAGCAACTAATTGGCAACGTGCTGAAGGCGAAAGTAGAAGCCGTGAGTGCAATTGAAATAAAAGTGAGTATGGCGAGTATGAAAGAAAACAAAATTTTTGTCAGTGCGAGTGCATAAAAGAAATTTGAACCCAAAAAGTATAGTAGATATATATTTTTAAGTAGGTTTTTAAAGCAGCAAAAGTGAGAATTGTATACATACATACCTATGTATGTAAATAAAGCAGAAGTTGCAGATAGAATTAAATACACAGTTTTCTTACTGTAGTGTTTAATGCTGGATATCATTATTCGAGGTAAAATTAAGGCAATGTCGCAATCACTCAGTCATACATACATATGTGCTCACATTTTTGGCAAAGAGGGGACAAGCACTAACAAGATTGCTTTAAAAATGATTACTACTACGTTTCATGCAGATTTTGAGGTTTCAATAAAAAAAATAACTTAGCAAGGACCATTAAGGTATCTCGGCTTCAAAAAAAGTGATAGTCATTCGATAAAATCTTAGGAATATAATAAACACAACCAACCTGGTCAACGGGGCGTATGAGTGATCTGAATTTTCTGCTGCTCTAAGCAAAAAACGATTTTACTTCCGGTGAAACCAGCAATTTAATGCCCCGTTAACATTATGCCAGTAGCATGGGAGTTCAGTGAACCAGTGCCAGCGCTGGGCAGGAGAGCCGACTATCTACATTATTCCAGTTTTTCAGAAGCCAGGGAAATGATAAATACAGTATCTATTAATTGAGGATAAACGCAGTAAAAATCTATATTCTAAACATAATCAATTGTAAGCGTTGCGAAAAGTTGTGGATAAGTTGATAAGGAATTCAAATGTGAGAAAATCTCAAACAGTGGTATTGAAAGCACTGGCATAATTTTCTCGAGTATAAAATCATTTTTCACTTAAATTGCTTCGTGAGACTGGCTATAAGAAACAACAACTATAATTTTTTTGAGATTTTGGGGAAAGTGATGCTATTTTAGTGAGGGCTTTTACTCTATCGGACTTGTATGTCACGTGTTAAAAATAAGTATTAGCAAAAATGAATTCAATGAAAATTTCTGGAGCCGAAATTTCATAAGCCGCAAATATACATACATATGTATGTACAAACGTAACATCATCAGTTGAGATCGATTGAGCCGATCTGGTGGGTCCCCTTCTTGGTGGGTTCGTGATTATCAATGCAAGGAGGTTTGGAAAAATCTCCTCACCAGGTGGCCCTGGAGTGTAGTCATTATTAAAAATCTTCTGATTTGGCTCATATTTGGAATGTGTGTGGGTAACGCAAAATACATATGTAAATACTGCAGTAAAAAATAATAATATACAATAAACTGTTAACTTAGTCTTTCAGTTTAATAAAAAGTTTCTATGCTACACTAACATGAGTATTAGATTTTTTTTTATACCCCAGCGCATTTGTGCACAAGGGTATTTTAACTTTGTTCGCATAACGGTTGTTTGTAACAGCCAGAATGAAAAGAGAAATCGATTAAGCCATGTCTGTCCATCTGTCCGTGTACACGATTACCCGAGCCAAAATTGAGATATGTCAACGAAATTTGGTAAGTAGGTTGCTCTTTATCCAAGGTAGGTTGGGATTAAAAATGGGCGAAATCGGGCAATAACCACGCTCACCTCCCATTTGAGGTAGAATTTTGGCATAAAATAAGACAGTTATACAATTTTTGGAAAAGGGGCGTGGCCCCGCCTACTTATGATTAAATGCTGTATCTCTGCAGTCCCTTTACCAATCTCTACCAAACATTGCTTAGAGCCTCACTAAGAAACTCGCCGAAAATTTTTGAAACCAGACAAGAACCACGCCCACCTCCCATTTATCGGTAATTTACAGAAATACGAAAACTACGATAAATTATTAGTAACTCTTTAAGCTAATTTACTCAAAATCGATATATGCAAGGACCTCTTAGCAGAAAATGATTTTTAGGAACATTTTTGGAAAATGGGTGTGGCACCGCCCACTTACGCCTACATATATGTATCTCGGTACCCGGTTTATCAATTTCTACCAAACTCGGCATTTAAATTTCAGAAATTCGAAAACTCCGATCTTTCCATAACTAAAGATGCGAACTTACAACAATCTTTTAACAAGACACAATATTATTGATTTTTGTTAAGTGGGCTTGTCACCACCCATTTATGACTCCAGAAGTATATATCGATAGCCGCCTTACCGATTTCCACCAAATTTGGTCCAATTCCTTTCAATATATCGTAGCATATTATTGAAACGGTTTGACATTGGGAAAAATATTCTTCCTTATCACACAGTTTACTGAAAGGTGAAAAAAGGATATTTAATACGTGCGCCAAGCATATAAAGTTCGGTTTCGCCTGAACTTATACTTCTTTACTTGTTACTATACATTTTAGTAAAGAAAAAATGTTTCACTAGGCTTAGTAAATTTTTCTTTTCACTATTATGTAGGTTGTTAATTTTAGTGGGCATCAGTAAATTCACCACTAAACATCAAGAGTAGTAGTGAAAAATTTCGCACTATCATTAGCTACTAGTTTAAACTGAAAATTTAGTGCACTACCCCCAACTCTGATTTAGGCCACTTGAACCGTTTTTTATATTTTAATTCTTTTTTTTTTTAACGGATAAGTTGTACCTCAAAGGCCTTCTTATACCAATTTAGTTTCGATCATTGGAATATGAATTGGACTCCTAAGTTTTTATATGAGAATTGAAGTCGGTTGTCTTTTTGCCTCGAAACAAAATTTTAAGTGTTTTCCTTTGCTGGAACTTTGTTATGTGATGAAATAAATGTTCTGACTAAAATTCATCCAAATCAAAAGTTATCGATTTCAACCATTGGTCTATTCGAGATAGATTGATCTACGTACATATATGTATATCAAGTCGTCGGCTAAGCAATCCAAAAAGTATTTGTTGAATAAGTGGTTGCGTGATCTGGCTAGAGCGGGACAGTGGCAGTCCACCTCGTCTCTGCAACTGCGACAAAAATAGTTAGTTGGATATTCCAACTGCTTTTCATGCGTTCCCATAAGGCAGTGTCCGATTTTTACTTCGACTACTAACCTGAGAAAATAGTGGTCAAACAAGCTGATAGCTAAGGATCGCTTTACATTGACTTTTGGCCAGATAGTTTTGATGTAAGGTGGTTTTCACAGCCCACTTGGACTTTTCTTTCGCAATGATCTGTGTTTTTAGGAGGTAAGAGGAAAGCCCCGTCTCGAGCAGAGTTGACTCCGAATATTTCCGTATCTCTCCTTGCCAGATTGTCGGCAATATAGTTGCCAGTTGATACTCTAAGGGCCGATTGCTCAAAGCCTGGTTGACACTAATCCCCGGTTAAACATCGTTACCGACGTTACCGACACCATGTTATTTGCATGGAGCCGAAAACGTCGATAACGATGTTAATCGGTGATTAGTGTCAATCAGGCTTTGAGCAACCGGCCCTTACTGTTGCCATTTTTATTGACTTTCAATATTTTCAATTCTAATTTATTATAAATTGGCTATGTAGGCCCATTTTTAGCACAGTTACATACTTAACGATACGAGGATCGGCCAGTTGTCGAAATTCGACGCTTTCTGTTCATTCACTTTTTTATTTTGCTTGTCACCAATATATACTCCTTTATGCTAATGACGATTTAGAAGTAAAACAGAACACAAAAAGATATACTAATGTTGTTAGGTGGGGTGATATACATATATATATATACCTTTGAAAATAATTAAATAATCCTAAGCAGGAAAGAAATTGGATAAGACTCTTTGATTCGCAACAATTATATCAGGTGCAAAAAATCGAAAAAAACGTTGAATTAAATTGTATCTGCGGTCATGAATATCGTGCGCCAAAAATCAGTAAGGGAAATAAAAAAAAAAACAAAGCACAAGAAAACGGTATTGCGAATGTACAGGAAACTTAAAATCTAATTATGAAGGTCAATAACAATGTTATAAGTCTCCTCCCAATCGACTTTCACATTTTAGTCTGTATGTCAGGTGCCACGCCCCCTAGGTAACAGGGTTAGCATTAACATTAACTTCGGTGTATGTTTCAATGAAATCGAGCGAACGGTGTCCCCAAAAAAGGAGTTCAAAATTTTCGTGTGGCGTATTTATATTTAGAGATAACTAAGAGACCTGATTCTGGCCAACAGGGCGTATGAGTGATTTTGAACGAATATCAACTAGAGTTACTATTCCATATGTAAGTTAAGAAAAACTCTGTAATTTAGGATATAGTATGTATGAAAAAAAAATGTCAAAAGAAGCCGAATACGAATTAATTAATTTGATAAAGTCAAATTTGTCTAAATACCAAAGATGCATGACATTTTTTTTTAATTTCTGTTTAATGCAGAAATGCTGCATAAAAACAAAAATTGTGGAAAAAATTTTGCTTAAGTTTTTTTTTTTGCGGTTAGGGCTCGCTACATACTGAACAAATTTTATAAATTACCAGAATAACAAGAAATCGATTCGGAAAAAATTCGTTTCAGCCATGTCTGTCTGTATGTCTGTAGGTCTGCCTGTTTCAATGCAAATTAGTTCTTCATTTTTTAAGATATACAAGCGAAATTTGGTACACGGGTCTATAATGTACTAATTACAGAGGCCAACAAAAATGGAAAAAAATTGTTGCGGCAAATGTTAAAGTGGTTTTTTGACTGATTACGAATCCCTAAGTACAAAGTTTCCATCAGCTCCAGAACTTGAGAAGAACGAAGAGAAAGCGCCAAAAAATCGCATTTTTTGCTATATTTTAGGAGGTGATACAA